TTTGTTACCCACAGTATTCTCATGATATCCTCCTGTAAGACTAATATAAAAATCCCAATTTTCAATACAATCACGGTAAGTGTAATCAGTGGAAATACTCCACAAACTACACAACAGCTACAACCATAAGAAATAGTTTGGCAAGATACTAATTGCAAAGAAACCAAATCTTCATGAAGCCTAATTTCCTGGTATTACATATTCAGGCAAAATCAGGTTTGAAAGATACAATCTAGTCTTCCACTGTACTGTCCAGAACTCTACTGCAAGAATTTTAGACATGACTTTCCGGGGGGGGGGGGGGGGGGGGGGGGGGGAGGTGTTATAATATAGTCATAACAGTTTATATAATGTTCAGATACCAAAACGTTCTAGCTACTCTTACCAAAATTTCTTTAAAGCTAATGTTATTCCTCACCAAAGACAAAAAGAGAATACAAACTGATCTTACTTTTCCCTAATTGCAAACTAAAAGTGAACTCCACAGAAAGTAGTAGCTGATGCATTTCTACAATGAGAAAATAAATTCTGAGATTTTATAGAACTGTGTACTCAGATATCCCCTTGACTGGTCTTCGTTTGCTTGAATCATGAAAGAGTGAATTCAGCAGGCTATACAGAAACATCAGCATAACTTTGTAAGCAACAGCAAATGTTTCATCTCAAATCTCTTAATTTTGGTATCACTGCACAAAAAGAATGTTGTACACAGCAGGAATAGAAAACAGTTACAGAGTCACCCATTCCTTTTACTCCTTTTCCTTCATGAGCTTAAGGCAAATTGATATGGATAAAACCAACATGTGGTAAACTTGGGTATGTTCAAATAAAAGAATTATACAATTTTTTACTTGCCTTTGGCTTTGCTACAAGATAAAGATCAAGAGAAGGAAACACTGGTTTACTGTTGTGCCCAAATTTAGTCCAAGGAACGTAAGAGCACCAAATAATTCTGAACACTACTGAACAACAAAAGTGATCATTGACAAATTATTCAAAGACGGGGGGGGGGGATGGACACTGGGGATGGGACCATAAACAAGGTATTAGAAAGAAGGGAATTATTTAGTTACAGTACTATGATTTCAAGGTCATTACATTTTTAAGGCAAAATCTTATAGTAACAAAACACATTACTAACGTGTACTAAAATAAGGTTATTTACTTAAAAATGATACATTGGACATGATCTGTGTACAGAACAAGCAATTCATGGTAAACTCAATAAGGCACCTTCTAAAGCAGATGCTGTACAAAATACATCAGTGTGTTACATTTTTAGAGGAGTATTCTACACTTCTGGCATAAAACACACACAAGAGTGTGACCATTTGCCTTGCTCCACTCTTCTTTCATATTTTATTTACATCTTCTCTAGGTTAACTACAATGTTACTTATTCTTCTTGTATACAATATAATACATTTCATTTGGGGCATGGCATGTCAGAGCACAAATGTCACTACATGATGTGGGCTTCTATAATTGCATTCAAACAGTAAAATAGTACAAAGCAACAATCACATGAGATTTGTTCAGAAATTAGAAGTAACGTGCAATCCGCTTCTGCTACACCAATCAAGGCTAATACACCATGACTCCATAAAGCACTGTGCCATGCAACACTGCCAGCCATTTTTTAGACATCACTCCTATTTGGCATAAAGATCATGGATAAAGGCTTTTGACTTCAGAAGCACTGTCAGGAAAATGAGGAAGTGCTAAATCATTTTAGTATCTGTCAGAAGAGGAGAGTGTAACTTCCCTTTAAAAATATCTGCAATAGCAAAAGAATGCTTTTTAATTTAGTATCTGCTTTTCAAACATTTTAGACCATTAAAAATACAATCTGTGAAGACAGAGTAGGTGAAATATATCCAAATTATTTGTTTTATAAACACATTCAAATGGCCATTTAGATCAAGATCTAAAATTTAATTCTAGACTACTATGAAGGTAACAAAATATTAATTTTACTGTTTATTAATATGGCAGAATAGACTAAGGAAATAATTTGGAAAAAGTGATGGATATTGGGAAAGCAGTCAATTGCTTGGGGGGGAACCTCTCAGGAAAAATAACATGTTGAGTAAAACTCAGAATAAACTCAAAATGTAAACCTACATTTTCCTGTAGGAATATCACGTTTCTTGTGGAATTTACAAGTTATCAAGGAACACAAAAACTTTCAGTTGTTGCAACAGTAAGAATTATGTAAGTGACTCAAATTATTTTCCACCTAACTGAAATCACATGGAGCATTGCCTTAAAGACAAAAAAACCTCGTCTGTATGTGAACGTTTAAGAACTTCCAAGGTACAGCTCTGACACTCCCCAAGATATTTCAGTTGTTATTAACAACAAAAACTGAGGACACATTTGCAAGTTTGGGGGGATTCTTATTTTCTTTTTTAATGACAAGTGCTTAAAATTTTGACCAAAGTGAGACTAATCATATCCGAACAGAAGAATCCTATTACCTTCCCTGACCTTAAAGGCTTCTGAACTACAGTACTGCATAAAGCAACAACTTAGCTTTAGAATCTGCACTAAGTATACTTAATATTATATAAAAAATCATGGGCTAGCTTTGACTGAAGGCTGGGTTGGGTTTTTTTTCCTCCAAAATAATTGTTAAAATATCAGTATAGACATACTTCAGCTCCAAACAGTGACTGACATTGCATGGAATGTAGGTATGTGCTCAAGTGCTTTATGCAACCATATCCTTTATCGGTAACATTTTCTGCAGTATCAGGGAATCAAGGAATGCTAAAGACCTAGCAGCTCCTGTTTAGGACAATGAAAACTGAGCATGAACCTAGTAACCGATGCGCTGAAAAAATGAAGGTTAAAGCTCAAGGCAAAAATATTTTTCTTCTCTCCAAGATCATCTTTACAGCAGCCAGCTCATGTCTTCTGTGTTAATGTGTAAACCAATTTAAGCCTTAAGATGTCTACCAAAGATCAGCACCTTCTTGCTTTGCAAATGCCTAACAATGGAGAAGAAAGTAAGTGAATAATTTCAAATTATCAAAATTCACACCTCCAGCAGTAGCTGAGGAACACTTGGGGAAAATGAACTAGAAGTATTCACAAGTTCATAGCTAATAATGCTGTGGCAACTTCTAAAAATTCTAAATAGGGACTGGTTAATTTAAATAGACCTCACTGTTCTGGAAGTTTAAACTAGGAGGGCACCTCAACATTCTTCCTTCTTATTGATAAAAATCCTAGAGAAGGAAAAAAATAAAAGCTTATCCCTTACATTTTTTGGCTCATACCAAATCTTTTCCAACTACTTGTGTAAAAATTATGTGCGACGACATGATTAACAATTGCAAACTCATCACACGTTTCTTGGCAATGGACGGAGAAATGTTTTCTTTAAAAAGCCCTTTACATAAGGATCATGGTATAATATCATATATCTTTTGCTGTTTTCAAGTAAGTTAAAACCATAGTTGACACACCTATGAACTTCTCGGCCAGAATACATATTAATACTTAAAGGCATTACTGAACAAAAGTAATGACTTTATTAAAAAAAAAAAAAACGTCCCTCGAAATAGCTAGTTTTCTATAAAACATGTAGAACAGTTAAATAAAGTCTGTACATCACAATAGAAAATAAAAAATACTGCCATCTTTTGCCTGACCATTTACATTATGTGAACTACAGAATTACAAAACAAAAAAAAGTTAGAAGGTTGTAACTGTTCACAAATCACATTAGTTCTGCATTACATTGTTTTCTTTTAGTTGTATTTTCAAGGGAAATTTAAACAGATGTCAAAACAATCTCCATGTATACATACTTTAAGACAACAAATAATATGGCATAAATCAATCTGAAGTTTTAACATTTTTTCATCAATTTTAGTATTATTCCTAGCTTTTTTTCTTCAAAACTTGAATATGGCATATGTGTGTTTGTGCATGTATCTAACTGTACACATCTACCTAGGACTAGGTGGTTGATGTTTATTTTTTTTTTAGTAAAGCACAAAACACACCACATAAATAACTTCCCTTCTTAACGTTATCTAGAACAAGATTTACAGTACAAAGTTATAGGCACTTAAATTATCAAACAGGTTCAATGTAATGTTTCCAATACTGTGTGTTCATTCTTCAGACAATTCAAGCATTTGAAGCTTCAACTTGAGTTATGGTACTGTTTTCTAACTTCAAAGTAGAAGTGCCAAAATCAATAAATCAATCTGCTTAACAGTAACCTCGCGGAGGGATTCTGGCTTTTAAACAACTTGTCTGGATCAGTGAAGAAAAGGAAGGTACTACAGTTTCCTACATGTGCCAATCGTTGGCACAGTAAGACCAAATTTTGCAATTATGTTAATTTACTTTACCTTCACAAATTATCTTTCAATGCTATTCCTCCCAAGTGTGCTTAAGTAGAACTTAAAATACCCACTGATTTATCTTGTCTAAAATCTTGAGTTTTGTGACTGTCCACAACGTGATCCACAGATGTGGCCTCCTGCATTTACATCAGGGAAACCCAGCTCGAAAATCTTCATGCTGTGTATCTTTAACAGTTCACATATATTCAGTTCTCCTGGTCCTGACCTTTACTGCATTGTCTAATCTTCTGAGAGCCCAGCCTGTGCTTCCTGCCTTCCATTTCTGTGTCTGTAAATTAAGACTTGTTCCCAAGCCTTTCAAAACTTACCTTCTGTCTAGTTTTGTCAAATGATGAAAAACCATGCTCCTATAGTTGACCAATTTCCTCCTGTACAGAAAAAACGTCAGAGCAAAACGGGCACCTACCAGTGAATCCCAATAAAGGAGAATGGCAAAACATGTCATCAACTGTCCTTTTGTCAGGATGTAAGGTATTCAACAGCAAAAATGCCGGTTGTGTGGCACTGTGCCAAATTTCATAGTCATCCAATTATGAGGCCACCAGACTGTAAGGGAGGTGACCAAAGCAGTCTGTGCCTCTAAGAGAGATTGCTTCCAGCTCTTTACAGACTTGGGTAGGTACGCCTTAATTTGTTAATGTTTTTGCAGTTCTCCTTATGACCGAAACAAGAACAGAAATAAAACTGAAATAAAATTAAAACTGAGATTTAGGAAGATAACTTAATAGCAAGGATTCTGTAGCAAATCTCTTGATTGTGGAGCTACAAAATGCATGGAACCCTGATCGTAAAACTTTGTTCATTTAATTATTTATCTATTCCAAATGACAGCAAAATAATCCTGGCACACACATAAAGGCAACTGTTAAACTGAGTAGTATCGCAAACAGATTCATAACCTACAGCCTGTTTCACAAAAACTTGGTATGGATTGACTAGGTTTTATCAGGTAGAAGGCAAAAACAAAAGAAAAAGCTTATATTCTCCATCTCTGTTGAATCCATATAGCTTGTGAGGCTTTCACAGAAAGCACTGTAATCTGAACATTCAATTCAGTACCCAGAGTTTTACTGGAGACTCACTATGTATGAATGAAGTCTCAATGCAGCTCAAACAAACCAAAATGTGAATTTTATCAAGGCTGTCTATTTATGTAGCACGTAGTGTATAGAGGCTCTCAGTATCACGGTCTATGACGTACTGAAAGATTTTATTAGCAGCCTGTAGAAGTGTGCTGAGAAAATATACTGAATCTCAGTTATTTCCTCTTTCCACATAGGTCTCACTCGTATTTGAGTGAAAAGATCTAGGAGTCCAGCTTTGCTCTCCAATGTCAATTTTCTATGTCAAATCTTTACATCTTGTGATTCCACCATCTTGGCAAGTGTCTTCTTGATCCTCAAGGCAGTGAGCCTCGAAGCAGGATTATGAGCCCAGCATTCAGACATTAATTTCAATATTGCTCTTAAACACTGTAAAATAAAAACCAAAGGAATAGTATTGTAACAACAGAAGTGTATAATTTGGTTTGCTTTCAAGCCCAAATCATAGAAGTCTTAAGTCCAAGTGTGCAATTTCTACATTTTCTGCAAAATTGCTGATAAAATATTATAAACAGATCAACTAAAAAACCCCCGATAAAACAAACCAACCCCATCCAACCACATTCCAATCCTCCTTCTTCCTCCCCTTCACTGCCTAGTACTACAGTAGCTGGAACCAACTGACGTGTTTATTTTCACAAAAATGCATTACCAGAACTTCTCATTACAACTCAAGATTAGCAGTACAAAAAATGGTAGGAATAAGCAGAAAAATCTCCACATGTACAGCAGAAAAACTGCAGAGAACTCTGTCACTAAAAAATGAAGATGTGAGAAAGTTCTTTCAGCATTAAAAAAATAATACAGAAAAAACTGTCAAGAAGGATACGGTGTATCTAGCTTGCCATGTGAAATAGCTATGTCTCATTTATCGGTTCAAGCTGTGGACCTTTAAAAACAGTTTTAAATGTAGTATTTTACTTACATCATGGCTTGCCCTGAAATGTACCAGTAAAAAAGAAAAAAAGAAAAAAGGAGCAATCTACAAACATATAGAAATTGCTTCATATTCCATGAAGTACCTTATGCCACAAACCAATACACTATATACATTAAGACTAATAAAACCAATTAAAACTCATTTAAGTTTTAGCTCTAATCAAAACTCTTAAAAATATTCCACTACCTAAAAAGAGCTCGATCAGAGCAGAATTCATACACTTGGATGCTGCTTAATTGTATCTGCCCCTTAGATCCATGAAAAGATCCATGAAAAATATGGTATTTTGTGTTGATTTCAAACCTTTCTCCTGTTGTTTGTGTGAGGTTATTAAAATACCAGAATGTGTGGATGTAGTCCCTATTTTACAATGTTTTAATATTTTTTAAACTTAAATACCCTTCCATATCAAATGAACAAACTGAACTAATTTCTCATTTCAGCATACTTACTTCATCACTATTCCATCTGTTCGATACTACTGGGCGTAGGCGTTTGACACACACCACTTCTCTCATGTCCTCATAGGATGGATCATTTGGCACCATGTCATAATATGGCAACTGATACTCTTCAACAATACCTGCAGATAATTGTGAAAGATCAAGAACCATTAAAAAAGAGAAAATAAACCCATATATCTACTCTCAGATTTCCTTAGCCAGGAGCAAAAATTAACTCAATTTTGTGCCAGAGCAAACCCACCACACTGTTATACTGTAGTAAACCCCCCAGATTTCACCATACAATCAGATATTTACCAGAAAATCTCCAATATTATTAATATTAATAGCTACAATAATTCCTTTCAGTCCCTTTGACACCCAGTGTAGAATTTGACATCTAATCCACTGCATGCACAAAGGAACAAGGAGAAAGCATAAGACGGAAGAAGAGAATACAAGCAAAGATCCGTAATGTCATAAAAAAAGTGAAAGAAAAGCAAGGGCTGGTCACAAAAACATGTATAAGGAAAAAACTGAATGACACCAGAAATACAAGTAAAAAAAATAACATCATCTACTCTTTAAAAGTCTTATTAACAGCACAGGGTTAAAATACACATGCATCCTAGAATTTTTGCCAGAGCAGGCATTCTGCTTTTTGAGCAAGGAAGAAAAGCCCAAGATGCTTAATTCTAACAATCAAAAAGGTTTGGTTCAGTGATTTTCAAGCTGTAGTCTGGACAGACTGTTACTACTGCTTCTAAAGATCACAAGGCTATTGATATAGCAGGCTCATTATACTATTTCCTGGTCAAGTCTCATTAAAAGTGAGATAAGGGCCTGGTAGATTTTATACAGAATATTTAAAAGCTTACCTCCTGTGACACAGCGTCGAGCCACTTCCCAAATGATCAGCCCAAAACTGTAAATGTCAGCCATGATGTATGGCTGGAAATGGTTTTTATTCAGGCTTTCATCTAGGACCTCTGGAGCCATGTAACGTTTTGTTCCCACTCTAGTATTCAACGGAACATCAACTTCATTTGTGTCACTACATGAAAACATAAGGAGGTTAGTGAATTGTGGACTAGTACAAGACATGGTATGAAATCCTGTATGATGCACTCACTACACTTCAAAGCTCCCATTTACAAATCGAATTATTTCTTTTATTTCCTTCTGTATACTACACTTGAGTACATTGTGCCTCCATGAAAAAGATTATCTAGAAAAACAGTATCGAATATGGAAGTTGACAGTTTACTACTACTTTTGCAAGACATTTAAAACACATGTGAAAATAACTTGAATTAAAAACTACTATAAAGATGAGTGTATTTGGTAACAACTCATGATCTGCAAAGGGCTTATGTTTTCTTTCAGGCTCTACTGTAGTTAAAACCCAATTCTCTGGCTCCACTGAACTTAAAATGAAGAAAAAGTATTACTTCTTCAATTAAGTTTCAACTCCCTTAACACTGTTCAAATTTTGTATGAGAATATATAATGACAGCAATTACTTTGAAAGGCCATTTTGAATAAGGAATTAGTCTCCTCTTCCTTTCCTCTACAAAACTACTGCTCTTCCACAAGAAGTCTTTTCTTTGTTCATTTAACAACCTATTTTCATCTCAATGATTATCAGTCTACAAAGGAAGAACAGCATTTTACTCTCAGAGCTGAAAAAACCTGAAAGCATGCAACCAAATTACTCTACCTTCCTTTAAAATCAGGTACTTGGTGCATTACAAATAAAAAGGTTTACCATTACAGAGGATTTGTTCATCTACCTGTTAAACTTGACTGCAAGACCCAAGTCTGCAATGCAGCAGGTTCCGTTTTTCTTTATCAAGATGTTTTTACTCTTCAGGTCCCTGTGGGCAATGGCAGGCTTGCCTTGGGTCCCATAAATTTCTGTGTGTAGATGGCACAGACCACATGCAGCAGAATATGCCAGTTTGAGGAGAGCCCTGTTGTCTAGCGTAGTGCATTTCAGAAAATCATACAATGATCCATTTTCATGATAATCTGTAATCAAGTACAGCTGTGTCCAGGAGCCAGTGCCTTTAATATCTGCAGCTATGAAACCTATGAAATATATAAACAAAGTTACAATGCATTTGTACATATTTTTTTATAAGACATTATAATAAAAATTCCTAAATCTATGTTGATTTGGACTGCATTGGAAGATACTTGTTCCCCTTACAGAAAACAAACAACATAAAAGCTCAGACTTCAACTATACATAAGGTTACCATTTCAGTCTTCCAGCAGAGACTGCAGACATGTCTCCAATCAACACCAGCACTTTCAGTACTATTTTATAAGCATACATTAAGGAACACACATTTGGTTATTCCATGGAAGTCATCATATATCCCTCTCAAGCCACCCACTAAGAACTCCTTCTCCTTCCCCTTACAAAAGCTCTTCAGTACAACATACTGCTTCCTTACCAAGGATGTTTTCATGACGCATTAAAACAGTTTGGTAAATCTCTGTTTCTCGAAACCAACTAGCTTCTTCTGTGGTGAAGAACACTTTCACTGCAACTTTTTCACCCCTCCATTTGCCCATCCACACTTCACCATATCGTCCTTTTCCAACTTGCCTCACCATCTGAATTTGTTTGGCAATAGTGCGCTGAACCTAGAGAAGAAGAAAGAGGGGAAAAGTGGAAGAGGGAAACTCAATGATTAACCAAAAGTACTTGGATGAGCTACTTCTCAAGCCTGGATTGCTTTGAATTTTGACCTCATTGCAAAACTTATTCTATATATGTTATCCATATTTTCCACTATTCCCATTTCAAACTCACTGTTGCTGCCTCCAAGGAAGAACTGTATAACAAACCCAGAAAGATCAAATCAACTCAACTTCATATGCACTCTATTTGTTTAAATTTTATAAGTAATGACAGTCACTTGTCTCACTGGCTAATTTTTATGCAAGTACTATACAGGAAGATGAATAAAAAATTATGAACAACTCGGCCAATAAAAAGCTGATCTCTTTTATCAGATAGTGGACACAGAAAAAAATATCTTTGAGTTTGTTCAGTTCAACACTTGTATTAGCCATTCACTGCACCTTTCTCTTAATGTCAGTAGGCTCTAATTGTCCCTAAATATTGCCGATGGCAACATTTTCCTAAAACAATCTGATTTTGCACTTTGTTTTAGTTTATTATATGTATATGAGCTTTTGTACATGTTTAGTTTGCACTGTAGCTTTCACAGTAATTGCATATAAAATAATATACTGTATTGACGCTTTGCTTTCTTCTAGGCATTAGGTACAAACCTATTTAATGGAGAGAAGTTCAGTGAAGAAAAAATCTATGATTTACCAATAACGGTAGTCCTGATCCACTCCCAGAACTCTGTGACTGGTCAATAAGGTCTTTTAATGACTCCCCAGCTGGAATAAATGCTTCATCTTGCTCCAGGTCACGATTATAACAGTGCCTCTTTGCCATCGACTTACAGTAATGCCTTCAAATGTAATAGGAGAGGTTCAGCTGAATTTAAAAAACTTTCTCAAAATATGTAGTAAATTGAACAAGGAAAAAAGCTATTTAAATGTACAAGTTTTCTTAAAAGGAAAAAAAAAATCAGATGTTACTGTACCTTTTTCTTTCTTCCAGAAGTTTAACATACATAGTTAATATTAAAAAGTTGCACTGTGTGTAGAGGTACATCAATTTACTGTGAGTCAGGTGGAAATCCAGCGTTTTCAGTACTCAGCTCACAGCCAGTTACTAGTATAACACTACTGGTTCTGGTTTAAACTAAAAGCCTGAACCTTGAACCATGGCAGATGAGTCTGACCCATACATATTTCTGCTGAAACTGCTAGAACACTGATCCACCCCCAGCACAGGGCTGGTGCTGACAGAAGCAGGCACAGTCTCTTAAACTGCACTCGCATTAATTGCCATAGCTTGGCTGGTCAATTATTCACTTTTGAAACACAGCAGAAAAGGAAAGGTTCTAAACACATCCTTGTTGCTTTAGGTTTGCAAAAGCATTTAAAAGTAAATCTTGGATGTAGATGGAATTTAACTATCAAAAGTGACTGAAGATCAAAAAACAAAAAAAGCATAAAGATATTCCTGTTCATTGGATGATATAGTATCAAAGTTAAATGTAGCTTTGAAAATTGTAAACATTTTTTAGCCAAAGGATTAAATTCACTTATATTCTACATTGTGAACATTTCATTTTACTTTGCAATGCAAACTGCAATCCACAGAAATGTGAAATTAAATTACAACAGTTTCACTTCCAATCTATTTTTGTTAGAAATAAATATGATTAATTGAGTATATGTACAAAATACCTGTTGTTTACATTCATTTGGGAAATTAAAAACACTGCCAATAAATAAAGTGCTTCCCTTACTTGTAACAAAAGCAGCTAAATAAGATGATCATGACAATTATGCAGACTGCCATAGAAATCAACACTGCCATCCAACGAATGCTGCCATCAAAGAGCCCATCTGTTTAAAAACAAAACCAAAAAAAAAAAAAGGAAAAAAAGATGAAAGTTTACAAAGCCCACTGATTAAGCATCTACTGCAAACTGTTTAATTAGGTATATTTTAATATACTGTGTATTTAAGTGGGCATAAACTGCAACACAGGTTTTGTCTGAACATCAGGCAATACTTCTTTACAGTGAGGGTAAACAAGCCCTAGCACAAATTGTCCAAGGAGGCTGTGGTGTATTCTTCCTCAGAGAGACTTAAAAGCTATCTCGACATGGTTCTGTGTAACTGGCTTGAACAGGGGGATTGAACCTGATAGCTCCAGAGGTCCCATGTAAGTCTCAACCAGTCTTTGATTCTGTGACAAAATGTCAGAAAAGAGCAGGACAGCTGATGCATACAGAAGATCTGTCCATATGAAATTACACAAAACTTATAGTGTTACAGTATCAAAGTAAGTATTTACACTGGCAAAGCAAAGAAAATTTCATTTGGATTCCAACAACAACAACAAAAAAAAAGGATTTAACTTGAGATTTTTGGAGTTGTTGGTTTTGGTTGATTCTTGTTAGTTTGTTTTTAAAAATAGAAATGAAGGATTTACAGCAGTAAGACTCCGAGAAGGTATTAAGCAACAGTCAAACTAGTATGACTTGCCTAGCAATGAATAAGCATATGAAAATATAAACTGTCGTCACTGGGAACAACAGCAAGAAGAGAATCAATATACAGTACATAACAGTTAATGTCAGAATACTTAAGATACATTCATCACAGGAAAAACATGGCAGAGATTACAAAAACTATTTACAAAAGAAAAGAGAATGGGCTATGGAAACAGATATGAGATATGAGCAAACTCAGCAAGAGAGTAAAAATACCATGAGTGACTGATGGAGGAAAAGATTAACTTGGAAGTGGCAAAAAAGGAAAACTGGAGTCAAATATGAAACCTAGTAGGGAGCTTCTTATTAAAATTACTTAGTAAGGAAAAAACAAATCTGTGCAATACTGTAATTACATTTTCTCCTTATTTTTATCTGTTGGATCAGGATCAGAAGAACAGAATACACACAGCATTTATTAGTAGCAGTGTGAACATCTAGGAGCTGTTACCTGTACTGTCAAGTGGTGGTAATGTTGGTTGTAAATCCTGATTGCAGAAATCAGTCCGACAGCACTCGATTGTTCGACGTAACTGTGCTTTAGGTGAGTCCTGTTGAAGGAGAATTGAATAAAGATTCAGGTTTTGAAGTGATCAGCTAGGATGCAGACAGGTGATGCTATGGATACAACACAGCAAAGACAAAAGTTTAAGCTACTTTATTTTAGAAAAACAGTTTAACCTCACCACTTAATGTATGAGGCAACTTTACAGTGGCAGACAATCATTACCTCATCTATTTAGGTTCGTATTTTCTATGTTCACATTCTGGAACTCCTTCTACTTGGTGCACAGAAATAAATGGATCCTACTTAAGCTGCTGCTTCATACATTGCAAAATTTTTAAGCTTCATCAAAAGCAGTTAATCATATGTTAAATAAATGTTATTTATATATTTATATATAAATGCTCTTAAGACAAAAAAAAAAGATGAATATAAGTTTTTCTCTTGCACTCATCATAGCAGCACTGTTTGCATCAAGAACATCTTGAGAACACCACATAAAAGGCGGCGGGACATGAAAATTAATCTGAAAGTAAGACACTAATATAAGTACAAGAACAATTTCAGGAGGTCATCATGACACCTCAGATCTGATCTGCAATAACCCTAAACATTCACAGCTGTAAATGAAGTCAAGAGTACTTGCAAAAAGCAGTGCTATCCACAGCTACATTATATAGAAATTCAAGTCCTAGAGATATTGGGATGGGGGAAGGGAGGCAAAGGGGAGGAAGCAACCTAGCTGGTAATTACCCCTGAAAGATTTGTTTAATGTAAGCAATGTGACAAAAGAAAAAGCAAATCCAGTCTTCCAAAGCAATATTTATTTGCCCAGCTAGTGCTACATGTCCATCTTATAAATAAATCCTTGCTTTATTAACTGTGTTTTCAGTTCCAACTTTTATAACAAAGAGGTTTTAAAGGCAGCAGTCTGCTTATCATACCCCTTTAAACCAAGGGCAAGTTATATTCATGTAATTAACAATAGCTTAACTCTTCTACAAAGGAAAAAACTAAAGCTGTATGTCAGACAGGAAAACATACACATTTGATAAATTGCATACATGTTCATGAAACTTTAAGGGAGCTCTTGTGTAATCTGTGAAGACAACTCCTTACAATTATGCAATTCTGTCAGACAAAATGAAGAAAGCAAATAATTCAAAATTAAAGCAATCGAGAAATTCTGCATGAAAATATAAAATATTCAGATCGATTAGGTCAACTATAAAGTTGCCTCTTCAACTGAGGAAACGGCAGACAAGTAAAAGGTTGATGTTCTCTGTTCATTTTGTCAGTGCTTACAGATACTTTCAGAGAACTCCAACAAGCTAGGATACTATTTCAGTCTTCGCTCAAACATCATTAAGTGTCTCTTCTGCCACTACTCACCCACAACTGTTCAGTTCCATTCTCCTCAGTGGTAAACAGCAACAAGCAAAATTTATGATTGCAGTTGGAAACTACAGAGATTTAAACTGCTTATGCAGTTTCCCTACATAATTTCCTTTGGGGATCTTAAATTTTAATGGTATCTCAATTTTTTTACCTTGCACTGGAAGTCTGAACCTTCATACTTCATGCAGCCAGAAGCAAGTGTGGGTTCTCCATGTTCATCTTCCTCAACGATAGCAAAGCAGTGCCCATTAGTTCTGTAATAAACATATAATTTGTGCTTTACCAGCATGTTTGCTGTTAAATATACAGCATTAGCTGATCATGAACCCATTAAGAAAACTAGAATGGCAATATCCAGAAAAATTCTAATTTTAACACAGTGGTTATCATACAGCTTGAGAACAAAAGAGCCCCCCACTATTTACAGACAGAAACTGTTTTCTCCCAAGCATTGTCTCCTACATCCCCACCCCCCCCTTCAGGATTGCTTGTATCCAACCACATGCATGCAGCTGTTTAGATCTAACTAAAAAGGCATACTGACTACAATATTATAGGTTAAAAAATAACAAAAAATTCACTTGTGCCTCTTCTTGAAACTGTAATGATAAGCTCTTGAAGAGAAATCCCAGTATGTGAAAGGTGGCTATTCAGCTACACTCTTCCCACATGAGCTTTCTCAAATATTCAGACTTAGAGCAAAACAAATCAATAAACCTCCAAACCCACTTTCTGAAGTTGTCAGTAGCAAATCTTCAGTTAATCACATAAAAAAAAAGGGCATTTCAAGTCTCTATTATCTCTTTATAGAAATATTTTGATTTCTACATTACACCAAAATGTCAACAAGATTTATGTGGAATCCCAAACCAATTTGCAATAGTAGCTCCATGATTTAAATATATGTAAAACTTAAGATTTTGTTAAATAAATCAAAACTCATTCATTCCCTCAACAGATACTAAGGAAAACAAACCCAGAAATATTGTTGCTCATCAATAATTTATTTAAAGAAATGCAGGTTTAGTAAGCATAATGCCATAAAATACCCTCCACATGAGCACTGCCTACGTGTTACTAACTCTCCAACAGCTTTATTATCAGAATAAGGATCTATACAGCCATTGGTTTGAAGGGGAAAAAAAAATAAAGCCTATACTGACTGCATACACGAGGGGGCGATAAAAAGCAAAAAAAGTACATACCCAAGGAATTAAAATACTGGATAATAAGGGAACATTTTTTTAGGTGCAAAACTATTTATAAAATACTGTGTTTACATTCTAAAAGACAGCAGTGTTTATTCCACCTCCCTGAGTTCCACAAAAACTTATCTGCCAAGTGACAGCTTTAGAGAGGCTTCATATTAAGTGTTAAAGTGAAGACTCAAAAGGAGCAAGTAACGTGTTTCCCATTATGTATCTTTATATTAATTCTTCAGGAAAAAAAAATGGAGTCTTAAACACTGAACTGCAAATGAAGAAAAAAAAAAGGAAAACCAAGGATATTTTACAACATGAGTAAAGCATCTTAAGCAAGAGCACAATCAGTGCATGGGTCTGTTAGAATTCTGATGCCTATCAAAATTAAAACTACCTTCCTGTCCTTATGTGTTCAGAGGATTTTCTCCCCACTCATCCTCCTCCCTCCCCCTGTCTTTCCTTCACACATTACAACTAATGAACACATAACAAGAATTCTCAGTAAACGGTTATGTTGCTAACATTACCTCTTGACTACTACATGAAGAAACATTAGACTAAGCCAGAAGGTGGTCAGATCAGGTGGTTTAGATTTAGGTCATTTAAAACTCATTTATAAAAGGCTACAGGTTACTTAAAACCTCAATCCTTAACAGCACTTGCTGGGCTAAATGACCAGTTGCGAATGCCTCTAAGGTATGATGAAAACAGTGCTGTTTAGATATGGATAACTGGGTTTTAGTTCTCAGCTCTCCACAGAAATACTGAGTTTCTAATCAGCTATGGTCAAATCACTTTACAGAACCTCAGCACTCTAAGAGTTTCCTCTCTCACAAGCAAAAATGAGCCTCTTCTATCCTGTATGCAATACTTACATGCATGTGTTATTAATAGCATCATCTGGACAATGTCCTGAGCAGTAGCACTTAAGAAAAGGTAAGGTGTCCTCTGGAGCAAGTGTTACTCCATTCGCTTGTTTCTTCTGGTCAGGATTTGTCTTCATTCCTGTGCCATGAAGCATGCTGTCAAGATTTTGACCTGGGCATTAAAAACCAAACCAAATAAAAAAACCATATTTTTGCATCTCTCTGGTAACTGTTCAAGAGCTTCACATGTACAATAACAGAATAATTATATTAACAAATAATTAAACTATACAAGACATAAGAATCTCCTCTCCCAAGACTGTAGCAGAAATTTGAGACAATCACTTTGTTACAGAAATACCTACGTCAAATACTTTATATCTTAACCACAGATCTTCTAATCATAATCAATATAAACAGAAAGAGGATATTTTCCATTTTTGAGGTGGGACAGAAGAGTAGTGATGGTAAGAATTTTACAAAGAAAGTCTCTCTCATGCATGTGTTCAGAAAATCCAAATGCTGACCGCTTGATAACCACAACAGTACAATTTTATGCATGACTGAGCACACTTAATAAGCAATTTTCTAATTTTCTGAACTGAAGTCACTTTTTATGGATTCACAGTCTCATAGAAGAGCAGTAATAACTCCAAGATTTCTTGGGGTATTTTTATCTCTGTATGTATTAGTACTTCAAAACAGAGCTAAAGTAAATCTTGTTCACAAATTAATTTCAGTTAATGACATGAACATCCACACAAACGAGCTTTCACAGAATAAAAATAGGGATAAATTACATTCCAAGTAGCCCTCAATTTCTCAACAGAAAGAGAGTTAAGCATCATTTTTTTCCAGTTCATACTATTAACGTGCTTTTGTGAACTTAGGCATTCAGAAGGAAAACTCCATCTGTTTCCTTCTTAGTGAAGAACACACTGGAAAGAAAAATGAGGACTGACTCACTTGGAACATGCTTTGTGATCACAACATGAGATGAGAACATCTTCATCCCTCTCCTCCAGCTTCACTACTCATGATTTTACCAACAGAAAATCTCTGTCTGTCCATCACCTAACAGTATTCTCTGCTATAAATCCTCAAGGTGTGAACCGAATAAAGCTGGAGGAGCTGTGAACAGACTACTGCCTACTCTGACACAATTTACAACAAGTCTCTGTGGGCAAGATAACAGAGAAACCAGTCAGGACTGACAGAAGCTTTTGCAAACTCAGCTACAATTTGAAAAGTAGAGGTACCTCACTACCGCTCAAAAGATTTATCACAATAAAAATTTAAATTTATATAAGAATTTAAAAAAAAAAAAAAGACCAGTAAACTCATAATCTCTTAAGAGTTTCCTGTGGCTTCCTGTCAAACATACCGAATGCTAGCCGTAATGACAGCATTACTGCCATGTTGTAACTTGCTTGAAAGATGTGCAGAAAATCTTGATTAAAACCCTTTGTACATACCACCCTCTATCACTCTACTGTAGCATCCACTACATCATTCAGCTAAATGTGCAATTAAATATTTGTGAAATTTGATCTTATTCTGAAAATAGCTGACTTGCAGATTTCCCATCTGACTAACAGAGCACAATCAGGCGTCCTGGTTTAAGCCCAGCTGTAACTCAGAACCAGGCAGTCTCTCTCTCACACACACCCCTCCTTCCCCCCGCAGAGGGATGGGGAGAAGAACTGAAAGAATGCAACTCCCACACATTGAGATAAGAGCAGTCCAGTAACTAAGGTATAACACAAATCACTACTGCTACCACCAATAATGATAAGGGAAATAACAAGGGAAGAGAATACAACCACTCACCACACACTGACCGATACCCAGCCCGACTGAGCAGTGATCTAACCCTTCTGGGTAATTGCCCCCATTTTTATACCCTGGTCATGACGTGCTGTGGTATGGAATACCTCTCTGGCTAGCTTGGGTCAGGTGTCCTATCTCTGCTTCCTCCTGGCTTCCCCTCCTCCCTGGCAGAGCATGAGACTCAGAAAGCCTTTGGTCATACTAAACATTACTAATGAGCAAGTAAAAACATCGGTGTTATCAGTGCTGTTCCTAGGCTGAAAGTCAAAAAACACAGCACTGCACCAGCTACTAAGGAGAAAAAAATGACTACTACTGCTGAACCCAGGACACCAGTGCACTGTCCTTATTCAGGAATTTCCCTAGAAGTAATGAATCTGTACCTTCTTTAGATACAACCAAGAGTATATCCTAAGAAAGTACAGCACCTTTTACCTAAACCCTCAAATCACTTATCCACGGTTTATTTGAAATGTAATTTTCAAACAGTACTTCAGTAATGCCAGAGTTAAGCATTCCCGATATGTACAGACCATTAACAAGAAAGTTCAGTGTTAAGATAACACAGTCTACCTGTGCAATATGTATTTTCAATTTAGCCAGATGGAATTTTGCATATATGAAATAGCAGCTCCTCCAACTGATACCTCTCTCCTTCTACAGATATCTTCCCAGCAAAAATTTTAATATGGTGCCACAGACATTACACAACATTCTATATTCACATTTACCTGCTTAGAGAACAGGTAATTCTACTTAATATTTAAAGGAAAAGCCACTGCATATGTACAAATATTGCCTTCCCTTCTAATTTCACTGAACTACTAAGGTATCTTTCCCAATTCATATGGCAAAACACCCTTTATCTTCAGGGACATTCTACATCTTAAAAGTCTGAATACTTTATGATCTATGTCTTTCAGTCACTCATCTATCTTCCTACCCTGAACACAGAATGCAGCATTTTTTTCGATTTGTCAGAATAGAAATCAAGTAACCCTGAAAGCATGGATGGCTTCTTCTAGCTCAGAAAGGCAAGAGAGAGAAGATTTTTATACAGGTCTGGAGTCTTTTAAAGCAGTATTATTCTTCGTAAAGTAACACTGAAGCATGACTACAGTATACCAAATACTAAAACTGAGATGAAATACATTTTTCCTCTTAATTTATTATGATGGACCGTATAACAAGATTTATGAAGAATACATACCAAACAGAACCCAAGTGAGGTAACTGTATTTTCAAAGAACCAGCACCTTCATCTTTTGTTGAGTTTATACAAGCAAAGATTTTTATTCAAAGTAAAACCAGACTACAACTTCATTATCTTTGTAATGTGAAACAATACTCTCCTGTACCTTGTTTTCAACCTATAGGTAGTATCTGAATTACATAAAGAAGGCAGGGGAGGATAACTTCACTCTTTCATTTTTACTTTCTGTGACTGTAAAGAGAACTCTTCATTAAACAAGAGCTTAACTGAGTATCCAGAAAAAGAAGAAAAAAGGAAAACATTTAGACTGCTTGGAATCAACTCAGAAGAAAGGTTTTATTGTCCCTAACTATAACCTGTATTGCAGTACTACGATTCAAGCTCAGCATTACAAGAACTATTGGTGTCTATCCTGAAGATGCTAGGTATGGGAAAGGGAGTTAAATGTGTAAAATTACTTGGTTTCCATGCACCTGAAATCTTGTGACACTACACTACTTGATGATGTAATTAATGGCTTCTTTACCGTGACACATGCAGTTGTCAGCTCTGCACTGCAACAAAAATCTTACATAACCTTTGCAGATATAAGTGCTATGCACTAATACACACAGCTTCAAAAGAAAAAAGGCTTTCACAGAAATAAGAGCACCCAGAGGTTCCAGGCACAGCAAAGCTTCTTCCTCTATTACTTCTTACCCTCCACCCGTAAACTGCTGGGGCAAAACAATATACATTAGCAGCAAATCAACTATGAAACACTGAAGGACTTGTTCAAGATCCTGAAACAGTTTCAGCGTGTTTGTCCAACCTTGAGAATGACAGTATGATATACATTTAATCACACAAACTGCTCTATGATGTCTATTTTACCACATTAAAGAGAAAATAAAACCACAGAACTTTCAATGAAGTATTGGAGAATTGGTGAGCTGAAACATTCTCCTCTTTTCACGTAACCACAGCATGACGATAAAGAGAAACAAGCTGATGGGACTTCATGTTCCCAGTTTGTCATTTGCTCTGCCCCACTACAGTACTATCTCATACACACTGCATTAGTTTTTCATGAACAACTGCTACAGATAAGAAGACATTTCAATGGCTTTCTGTTTAACTTTTATTTAATAAAGTAGAACAATGCCTGCCAATGTATCATATCCAGCCCTTAGTTGAAGATATATTCAAAGAACTACTTCCTGCAATCCTAGAAAGTAAATTGGATCATAAAATGTCTTTTAAAGAAGCACAGCATATTAAAAATACCACTAGGACAGAAATCTAAGTCTACTTGAAAGCATGGCTTCAAATACTAGTATTAACACAGATAATCTTAAAAAAGGTACTGTGACAGTAAGGTTTTATTAACCACTAAAACCTGAGCTACCAAGCAGTTGCAGCTCAATGCCAGGATACATACATAATTTCATTATGTCTTCTGATCTAAGAGAAGATTTGTGTAACCCATGAAAAACCCAGCTCTATTAAGAAATGCAGAGAGAGTAGTAAGTGAAAAAGACAGAAGCCAAATTATGCTTATAATTTCTTATTTAACTGTATCTCCCCTACCTCCACAAATAAAGCTGCAAATGCTAATCTACTAGCCCACAAAATTCAAGTTATTCAATTGCTTCCTGAATTGAAATATAGATATTCCACATAAATACATTTTTAGTCCAGATAATGTTACCCTTAAATGTGATTTATCTTATCAGAACTACAGTACTATCAGAATTTTTTTGTAGCTACTGTGATCCAAGATTGTAAACTCCAATAAATTCAGTATTTAAATAAAAAGAATCTTTGTCAAAAGACTACCTCCACCTGCCTTCTTGCTGGTGTTAAAGCTGTTTGCTAGTGCTAGCTGACACTCAGGGCTTGCCCACATCAGGGTCTTCTCATAAAGAGAAAAAAAACAGATAAAAGTGGTTCCAAAGCTCTTTACGTTAGATACACCTTCCTTATAAACAAGACATACTTTGAATTTTTTTATGTGTCAGTTTCAAAATATTTTTTTCTTGCTTTAGGATGGAGATACTGCAAAATTACCCACTTTAACGAGTACATTTCACCTTTCTAACCTATCTCAGACTTTCATAATGATTTAACATGTACTGCCATGAGAATGA